GTGTTGGAATAGTGGCTTTGCAATTTTAGAGAAGGATAGGTGAGTATAGTGAGGGCGGTTCCACTAAAGGGCTTTTAAACATTTGAGAAACTGTTCTTTTTTAGGATGACCCCTCGAAACTGAACCATTGGGCTTGCAGTTTGCTTCATGGGAATGGCAATGATCGGTGGTTTGATAAATCTCTCAGTCTAATAGTGTACAAAAACGGTCGTTTTGGAGCTAATGCGGAGCATTCTTGGTTTGTTTATTTTTTGACTGTGGGGAGAAATACATTTCTAAGGGCTTATTCATGTAATTTTAGGGGAGATGCTGCAATTACTGCCCATCTTCTTGAATATTTGATTGTCTCGGATTTCTGCAAGCAGGGCTATGATAAAGATGGAAATGCAATCGGAGAAGTGTCTTTTGTACCGAAACCGGAAAGATTGAAATGGAGCATTGATAGAGAACTTCAGGTAGGTTTTAAAGACTTTTTCTTTTTTGCTTTCTTCCTGACTCATTTTTTATTTCGCTTCCGTTACTCACTCTAGGGTGTAATTCAAAATAGTTTGGTCACCGCAAAGAACTTAATTGATGACGTTGAAATGTCAATACTGGTATGGACAGAATTTGGCAAGGGCCAAATAAAAAGAATGAAATTATCTCCAGATGCGTTTATGCAAATGGCGTTACAGCTGTCTTTCTATAGGGTTAGTCAGTTAAAGCTTGTGTCGAAGATGGCATTTTTGTCGTATATTCTTCCTCAAATTTTCTTCTCGCTTAGATTGAAAGTTATATATAATGTTGAATAGTGTTTAATTATTCTGAGATTTTGCAGCTTAATTACCAAAATTGATGTCTTTTTTTTACTGCAGAATCAGAATCATTTTGCCCTCACATATGAGGCAGCGACGACTCGTTTGTACCGAGAAGGTAGAACAGAAACTGTGAGGTCTTGTACGAAGGAGAGCTGTGACTTTGTTCATGCTATGTTGGACCCTACTCAGACAGTATGGCTTTCTTTTGGTCCTTGCTCATTATGTAATCTTTTTTCTCAGCTTTCTGCTCGAAGATTTAGTCCGTTTCATGTTTTTGATTTTAGACTGAGGAACGATTAAGGTTGCTTCGTGTTGCTTGCAATCGTCATCAGGAACTTTATAGAGAAGCGATGTGTGGGAAAGGGGTAGACCGACATCTTTTTGCCTTGTTAGTTTCTTCACAGCCGTTATTAGCTTTAGTTGCAGGAAAGTTTAGTTCAAGGTAGTCTCGTTTGAAGTTTTGATTTACAACGGTCACTTGAGTAGGCAGCATTTTAAAAAATTGTATTGCTGTGTTGCTTTGAATAAAGCACCGTGTTCTTAGCTTATATTATTTTCTGAGAGGTTGAACAGTAAGAACATTTGCTTATTATTTGGTAGCTGAAAAGCAGTTTTGCACTACCATGCTATAGTGAGAATGACGATGGTAGTTGAATGGGAGGCGGGCGAAATACATTTTTAGGAAGAAAAAGGGTCACTTTCTTTGTAGACTGACTTCATTTCGTGTTACTGATATCATTAGGTCGTGTCACTGATATCATTAGGTTAGTTACATCACAACCAAAGACAGTAGATTAAGTCCCATTATTGAAGTTTTTGGGTGCTGCTTTGAAACCTCAGCTGTTGTGATTAAGGTTGTTATGAAACCTTATGTAAGATTTGCGGTTGATTGAGGATAGCAGTGTTACAGTTTTCTCACAGAAGTATTTTTGTTTGTTTTTGAAGTTTGTGGTTAGTCGTCCGGTGGGACTACTGGAATGTTGGAGGACGTAATATGTGAGAGAGTTCCAAATTAGCAAGTCGAGGAAGAACCCACCAACAATGTAAAAGGCGGAGGACGACACTGTGAACCACTTTTGCCCACGTCATACTCAGTTTTTTTTTCTTTTTTGCAAAGCCGAAGTGAACCATTGGCATGAACGGTCTTGACACTGATTATTCCTTTGAATAGGCGTTTGCTGTTGAGAAATTCATATTAAAATTTTGCTTTTTTTTTACAGAAGGATTGCTACAGTTTTACGAACCTCTGCTTTTAGGCAATGACTTGAATTGGGGTTCTCTTGTATGTACTTTCCCAACTTTTTTGTTGGCCCTTGAAGGGAGTCGCGTTTAGTTGGTTACACCAGATAGATTTGAAAATCCGGTCCAGTAGAAGTAATTTAGTTTTTTCGCTCGTTGAATGGTGCAGGAAGGCCGTAATTCATTACAGTGAATTGAACCTCTTATTGACTTCGACTTTTCCTGTCTTCTGGGAGCCTTTTATAACTCACTACTAAGTGTAACTTACAAAGCGCAGCTTCCATGCGGGTTAAGTGATGGTATCTCATAGGTGGTTCTTAAATGACACCATATTTTGTTTCGCAAGGTGACCCAAGTACATTACATGCTGTTACCAGGAAGCGAGGAACGTGACAGTAATAAAGCATTGATTTACACTGGAAATCCGATAAAAAATTTTGAAGCGAAGGTTATATTGCATTCTTCTGAAGTTTTCATGAGTCAGAGAACCCTTGGAAAGCAGGCGTAGGTTCTAGCGAAACATTATTTTTTTTCAAGGTGCCATTTGGCAGACACGTACCGTGAACGTGAAGTAATTGTCACCTGCAGTGAAAGAGTTTGCTGATATAGCTTGTGAAATACGGAGAAAATTTTTATAAGTGGGGCGTTTATTTTAAGTGTTGTTTCGATAAGCTTTGATATAATAAAAAGAAAACAAATTCTTATTTCAAGTGATAAGTAGATTTGTGAGATCGAATCCTACTGAAGAAGACACTTTGAACAGTTTAGCGTAATTTTTTTGCAGACACTGTGGTGTTTTTCTTTGTCTATCCTCATACTGGTATAATTTCAGGTACATTGTTAAGCGGTACCTGGAAGAGGAGTCACAGTTTTTGGATAAGATCTTCCCACCGACTTTTATGCTGTCCACCAGTCAAACGCCGCTTAACCAATGTTATGAGGAGACAGTTTCATTATCTGATGCTCAAAAGTTTGAATTGGTAAGTGCAGGTGGCGGGTTCGGTCCAGTAGCAGATCGTGGGTATGGAGTTTCGTACATACTGGCAGGAGAGGAGCAGATTTCGTTCCATGTTTCTTCAAAGAGGTCTGCTAGCAATACGGTGGGTATCTTTTGTTTTAGCTATGTGTCACGGGTTTTCTTCGTGATACTTGTCTCCTCAGTTCACCGGACTCTTATTTCTCAATAAACAGTTTCGATGGTTTTAAAAGTGACGATATTCAATTTTTTTTTCAAATATTATGGTCCGGTAGATCTACTTTTACTGTCTTAATAGTTTACGCTTCGATGCAAGTCTCCTTCGTTTTCAGAGCTCGAAGGGATTCTGCAGTGACATTAAGAGAAGCCTTTGTGATATGCGCAACCTTTTTATTCAATGAGCAGTTCTGCCTCATTGCCTCATTTGTTATTTTGATACTCTTTTCTTTCTCTTGCTTTTCTAGATGGATAGCAGGGTAGCACTGCCATTGTTTGTAAATAAATGCTTTTTTTAATGGAGTACTTCATGCTTAATTTCTGTGTGGAGAGTAGGGTTTTCTAGTTTTAATGTCAACTTTTTGCTGGTGGTTGGGAGGATGGGGAATTTGATTTTGGTTTTTGATACACCTTTTAGCTGGGCCTTTCAAGTCTTGGAAGATTCGATGTTCCGTTCTTTATGCGACGTGAGCGATGTCTAATGTTTTGGCGCTTTCAGTTAGTAGGATCTCTGGAATGGCTTTGTTCTTTGTCTTTCCGTGGGGCGTGAACAAGTGAGAGTCCTTGACACAAGTCAGTTGCCTGGTAAGACATTTGCGGAATGGCAAGTCGTAAGTAGCGACGTGTTAAACTGTAATGCGAGTAAGCCGGCATGGAGTGATGGCATAACTAGTACAAACTGTAGAATCGGCTACAGGGTGATGGAGTTGTTAAGTTTGGATTGGTGTCCTAAGTAGTGACATTGTAGACGGGAGTGTTTTTAATTTCCGCAGCTTTGCTGTCATTTGCTGTGGTCTGAATTCTTTATTTACGGATTGCAAGTGCTAGTGTTGTTGCTGCTACTGGCGCACTTCGAATGATAATTATAGATTTTGGGCGCGCTTGTGTTCTACAAGTTTTTCTTCAAAAGAGAAACTGGGGTATTACTGCTTGGTGGTGGAATTGTTTTCCAATGGTGGGATGCAATTTCGGATGTGGGAGCAGTTATTCAGGGAAAGATTGTAGGACTGGTCCGGGTAACTGCGTACTCCTGGAGTTGTTGAGAACAGGGGTTTCACAGCACCAGTTAGGAACAAGTGATTTACAAATTTTTAGTAGTGTATCCAAGTGTGTATTTTTGATAGCTGGCTTCATTAGATTTTACTTGTTTTGTAACTGCAGGTTGCTGAGCAGCCGTGTGGAGCAAGCAGTTTTTAAGAGCCAGTAGAACAAAGCGCGGTAGAGACGGCAGAGGTGGGAAGTTCACATAGCGGGTAGGGTTTCGTTGCTATCTTCATTTTTTGACCGCTTTTTTAGGTGTGGGCGTTTTCATTTCCAGCCTATTCTGGGACTGCAGCAGGCCTGTACAGGGAACACGAACTAGCTCGAGGAAACAACGCGTAACTGAAAAATCGACCTATGACTTAATTGAACTGACTCAGTTCAGCTGATCATCCTTAGAGCATTCTAATGACCACACGGTTTTCCAGAATGGGCATCCTGAATGAGCAGAAACATCCAGAATCAAATCTGTATGGAGCTTCGCTTCCGAAAAGTTTAAATTATTCTAGCAGACAAGCGTTTTATTCTGTCTTGGTCTTCAGCAATAGGCTGGAACTGAAAAGTGCGTTTATAAAAGCGCATTGGTGGCGAAGTTACCTTTCCTAATCGCAAAAAAGAAAGATACAGTTCCAGCCAAAAACGGTCTTTAGAGGCTTATAGTTCTGTTTATTCAGAATGGATGTGTAATTTTTATTTCCGTGAAAGTTTATCACCCGTGGACTTAGAAGTGTTTAGATATATCTGAACAGATTTTATAGAAAAATGAAAAAAAGAATTCAAAACGTTCTTTCAAAGAAAAAAAGGAGAAAATATTTTTTACATGTGTAGTTTTTTTTGTACGAAATAAAGTTTTAAAGTAGTATTTTTGTGACATTACGACTCACAGTGCGATTAGTGACGGTAGACTACAAGAAATAAAGGTCACTGTCAAAATGTCAATTGATAATGAAGGAATGCAGTTTTTATGAAGCGTTTCATTCAAGGAGCAATAATAAATTTTGTGTTTCGGGCTGAGAGAACAAGACAAGAAATATTTATTCTTTTTGAATGTAAAGTGCTGAATGTCTATAGTAAAGCACCATCAACTTACAACTCCTAAACTAGCAACTTCAACCTCAAATAACATTTCATATCTCACTACACGTTGTAGATTTCTACAGTATATCACGTGAGTTATACACTTTCAACACCAGCGAACTATTTAAAGGATGTAATCTTCAAAAGCTTGACTAGGTGAGGTACGGTTCGATTAAACGAGAATCGTACAAATTGCGTGACGGACGAGCATGCCGCACAGCCACCTTTAAAGCGAACTAAGTATATCGTGAAATAATTAAAGAACCCTGCACCTATCATTTCTGATACTCCGATGAAAGTTAACATGAACAATAGCTTTTTGAGGTTTTTAACGATATGCCAGTCCTGTAGATCACCCAAACCTGTAACGACTGTCTTCCGGAGGCAAGAGCGGCTTTCGCAACTATTGTGCTGCCGCCTTTGCACGGCACCGCAACGATGTGATAGTTTATTGTGTCATGCAAACGATATTATTTCTCGAGGACAGCAGACAGAAGACACCTCAACAGCAGTTTAGGTCTTTTCTCTCTCCCCCACCAATGTGTACTGATGAAGCCGCTATCCAGTTTTCCTGTCAACGAGCCCTCACTGGTGCTGATGCAGTTAAGCTTGCCCACTCATGAACTTGCTTTTTTTTGTTTGTCAGCCAACCCTCATGTCTTATGTAACGTACCTCCAACCTTGTCCGACTCATGCATGATGGTCTCATACTTGTCCGTATACTTGTTGACTTTCTAACAGTCTTACGCTAAAATTTTACTTCCATCTTTATGGTGTTTCGTAGCACTAAGTTGTTGTTCGTATTAGGTGTAGCGGATGGTAACTGCGGTTTTATGATTGTTTGGCGTGGGGTTCATTTCACTCTTAAACAACTGCTTATTATCCCACAAGTATTTCTGCTGCTTCAGCACTGATTATATTGAACTGCGTTCATAATGTACGCCTTTTACCAAAAACGAGGGACCCGAGCCTCTCCATATTCAAGGTGTCTTTAAGGTAGTTTCACAACTGTTAGTTAGTGTATTTCAATAGACTGAAATAGAAGAGGAGTACGAGATCACTCATGTCCTTCCTGGCATATATAAAATTACGCGT